TCTCTCAGTCCTTCTGGTGGACCCACATGTACAAGTGGGTCGCCCGGTACGTCAAGACATGTGAAACATGTCAGCGGGTTAAACCCGCAGGGCACTCTTCGGCTCCACTACAGAGCCTGCCCGTACCGGCTGATTGTTGGAAGTCGATGAGTCTTGACTTCATCTTTGGGCTTCCCGCCGACGGACACGGCAACACCGGATTTTTGGTGTTCGTGTGTCGGCTGAGCAAGATGGTACATCTTGCTCCAGTTCCCGTCACTGTGACGGGCGAACAAACCGCAAGGTTGTTCGTCGATGGCGTGTTCCGCTATCACGGTCTCCCGGAGACGATTGTCTCGGACCGAGACCCGCGGCTCACTGCTGCGTTTTGGAAAACGCTGTTCCCTTTACTGGGAACTCGTCTGCAGATGTCCACTGCGGATCATCCGCAGACAGACGGCCAAACAGAGCGCGTCAATCGAGTGCTCGAGGACACTCTGCGCAGTGTGTGCGCGGCAGCGCCACGTACGTGGTCGACGCAGCTTCCAGTTGTTGAGTTTGCGCTCAACAACGCGGTGCACGCGTCCACGGGGTTCACGCCGTTCTACTTGAACGGCTTCCGCCACCCCAGAGTGCCTCTCACTCTTCGAGGAAACACTGACTCCTCTATTCTAAGTGGGGGAGAGGCTCGGAAAGCCCTTTCCTCCCAGGTCTCGGATGTGAGGCCAGTTTCGCTGCGGAAACAGGTGAAATCCTTTATGGATACCAAGCTGAACATTGTCAGCAGGGTCCGCGATGCCATGGCAGCGGCCCAGGATAGACAAAATGAGTACTCAGACAAACATGGAAGAGGAAACTTAAGTGTATTTAAAGTGGGGGACTTAGTGCTATTAGACACGAGGAACCTACCGCTAGACACTGTCAGCTCTGTCGGCAGCAACAAGCTGAAGCACCGCTTCATCGGACCTTTTGCAGTCCTGGCCAGACATGGTGCGTCGTACACCATCGACCTTCCAAAGTCAATGACGACGCACCCGACGTTCTATGTCGGACGTCTTAAGCGGTACTTTGACCCGCAGGGGGTTGCTGACTCGCAGACCCCCCTTGACCCAGCTCCTCGAAGCGAGGGCCGGTCACAGTCGTCGACGAGGGCGTCGGAGCAGGCACCCAAGCCTCGGTCGGGACGGCAAGGCTGCGGTCAAGACCGTACGCCGGAGGGGCTCCATACGAACGGACCCCGGCGCCATACGCCGAGTACGCTGAGTACGCCGGGTACGCACCATACGCGTACGTCTGGGAGTGTGCCGCAGGCGGCTCCGGACGTGGCAACAAAGCCTCGATCCGTCGGATCATGCGAAAGGCCTCGTCCAGATCGGACGAAGAGGCCCGGCGGTCCACCCGCAGGTGCAGGCTCGCGACCTCTCGCTCCACCAGGTCCAGGCGACCCGCAAGACGAGCGAGCTCGCCCTGATTCCCGGCCTGGGCGGCAGCATTACCGCCAGTCCCAAGGCCAAGTGCAATCTCAAGCACGAGGAGACGTTGACGGAGGCGGTCAACCTCAGGGTCCCGTGTCGGACCCGCAGTCGGAGCACTCGAACGAGAGTGACTCTCGGGAGGCGCCGAGTACTCGTACTCGTACGAGGGCACCTCCGCCCCTGCTTGACCGGAATGTGAAGTCCACTTCCACGTGAGCGGATCCTCCAGGAGCAACGGTGTCGCGGGAAGCGACAGCTCCTCGTGAAGTGGAGGGGTTATGCCCACTCCGAGAACTCGTGGGAGCCGATTGAACGGCTCCTGATTGACTGCCCGAAGGCTGTCGCAATCTGGGAACAGAAGCGGCGGCAGCTTCATAAGTAGTCCGGGGCTTCTTGCCCGAACGGGGTACGGATGATGAATACATACCGTACCCGCGCTCATCGTGAGCGCTAGAAGCCGCGCGCTTCAGGATGTCCCTTGGCAGCATACGCTTGCTGATCAAGTGGGCAAACCTCACACGAAGATCACGCTGGTCCAGGATGTGGGACAGCTGCTGATCTTCATGGAGTTCCCATAACTCCGTGGGCGAGTACTTGAGAGTCTCCACCCACGCCCAGAACATGTCCTCACAAGAACTCCATGTGGGACAGTTCTCGGGCATAACCCAGGGGTATCCCCAAACAGTATAGAGACCACCCCGGGTCTCGGGCTTCTTACGACAAGTCGTGAAGTCCTTAAGGGGAATGCGGTGTGGCGCGAGAAGCACACACCGAGCAGCCTCCACGTTGTCGACGAACAACTGTTCTTTCTGAACAAGGGCTCGTTCATAGATGCCCCTAGAAGTGTGGCCGCCCACAAGGCCACGAGGAGCGACGAGAAGCTCTAAGAAGAGGTCAGCCCCAGAGCTCTCCTCGGGAGGCCAATACCCTCTTGAGTTGATGGCAGCTCCCTGGCTGACGGGTGCCGCCACCGAACCCCCACGCACACGCTGGGCAGCTTGGAAATCCTCCTGCTGCTGGTTGAGGTCATTCGAGACCTCCCGGGGATCAACAATGGCACCCTCCTCTTCCTCTTCTTCCTCCTTCTCCTCCTCTTCATCCGAGGAGTCGAAGAGACTCTGATAGGAGCGTCGAGTCTCCTTCTCCTCGCGGAGTGGAGACTTAGAGGCGGTACGCTTCTTTGAGGGCTTGGCGCCTTCGGCTTTAGAGGCCTTAGCGCGCGCAAGACCCTCGGCAAGCGAGAGACGTTTGCGAGGATTATCTTCCTCATCGCCACCGGCTTTGGGAGTGCCCTTAGCCTTAACGGCCGGACTCTCAGAGCGCACAGAGGTCCTGGGACTGTGATCACCGTGATCACTAGCGGACGACTGCACGCTGTCTTCTTTGTGCTCACTGGGCACTGGGCTGTGCCCTCCCACAGAGCCCGCAGGAGCATCATGAGTGCTCTCGGACTCGGCATCGTCCTCACTGCCCGAGTTGAACTCACGTTCTACGAACCGAGGGTTCGGACGTTTGTCTGAAGACGAGGGCGACGGACTGCGGCGCCTGCTTGCGCGCTTGTCCGCAGCCGCGTCACCCGAGGATCCGATCGCCTCGGAGGCCACCTGAGTAGCCTCCTTAAGTGCAGAGCCTTTGCCGTGAGGCTTAGTGCTCTTGGCCTGCGCCTTACCGGCTGCAGCCTTGGAGCGTGTCTTAGCACCGCTCTAGCAGTGCCACGAGGCATGTTAACGGTCGAAGTGAGACCTTGACGAAGAGCGCACAGGTTGCTGCTCGAGCTCTAACTGTAAAGTGAGCCTCCGCCGCGCTCGCGCGCCCGAGTCGATGATTTTCGACTTTGAGAATGAGAGTTTGTGACGAACATCTCTTCATTCTGATTGGTCGGTTAACCCGAACCTAAGTGGGGGAGGATGTAACGGGGTACGTAGCACTAAGTGTACCCTGGTTACATGAAAGTGTGACACTTCACACTTCAGGAGTATGACATGTCATACTCCGGGATATTTGGTACAAGGTACCAAGGTCATTCAAAACCAACCATTGGTTAAATGACATTGCATTACTATAGGTAACTGATAGTTTGTATTAACCTCAAACTTAACCTACCTATAAATATACTCAGTTTACAATCTACCTTATTTAGGTCACTTCGCTCTCTTTAATTAAAGAGGGGACCTGTGAACTGCCGTTCACTGAGAGTTTGTATACTCTCGGAAGATAACTTCCTCTAGCGCAAGGTGCTGTGTGACCCCGTCACAGCCTCGGACGACCCTGGTACAGTACTGCACCCCGTTTACGCGCCCTTGGGACCTTTGATAAACTTCTGGACCCCCGCGAAAACGGGGTGCAGTACTGTACCATGTATGTGTCATGCTTCATGTAACTAGGGGTACACTTGGGGCTACGTACCCCGTTACAAGAACTTAGGCCACACAACGTCGTAGGTGGACCGTGAGCAGTTTTGGACTGCACCCGATATCACACCATGGCAACCGCTGAAATGCACAGTCAGCGATGACACGGCCTAGTGTCAGCTCCCAGGCACTACATGACATGTTTAACCTACACGGACTACTAGATGCGCGTTAATTTTCTCAGTAGATGTAGAAATGAATAAAAATTGTACTTGATGTGAAGCACAGTTCTACTTTTTTAACTAGAGAATGAGAAGTTGCTTGAAGAGAGCAGGATCGAGATAAAACGCGGTATCTATTGCACCTTAAAAGCGTGTCGTGTTCCACGTGTGCATGTAAAGATGCGTCGAAGTAAAGTACAGTATTAAATAGCGTCTCAAGTGCGAACGATTTTAAAGTCATTCGTCTTGGCTGTTTTCGTTGAACGCATTGCGTGTTTGCGAACTGAGCACAGCCACCTCGACACGAATGGCTGTTTTTGCAGTGACGAGCGAAATATCTCGTCTAACAAGCGCTGTAAGACACGAAATAGGCCTCTTCCAGCGAGCCATACTTATTATAATTGCAAGCTTATATGAGCTGCATTTCAGCTCGGACCGACCGTACAAAACGCAAATTGTTGAGCCTTGAGTGTCTCTAACCAAACAATAGTCACCCGAAGATCTATTCGTGCCAGCATGCGATGCGCTCACCCTTGACATTTTTCAAAACCGACATGTGCTTGTAGTGTTATATTAATACGGAGCCTTACATTAGCCGGTTCCTCAGCACTAAAGTTCATCATTTTGGGAGTGTCCGGGACAATTAATTTGTGGTGGCGACGCTTAAGAAATCCTTTAGCGTCGCCACCACAAATTAATGTTTGAAGAGCTGGTAGTCTATCCGTAACGATGCCATGAAAGATGCGATCGTTGTCAAAGATCGTTGTTCCGCACCAGTCTTTAGCATGATCACGGTAGGCTTTGCTCGGTCCATCGGAAAATAGGGAACGACAACGTACTGAAAGGACGGCGGATTATTGAAGCACCAGCAAAATACCCTCGTTACTCTGTAAGCCCTGAACGTTAACGTTAGTGACGCTTGCCAGTCCGGTTAGGGGAAATGTCGGACTTGGACTCACTTTCCACTTGTTGAGATGGCAGGCGGGTCACTCTTCCAGGTCGGCGAAGATGTCGAATTCTGGAGAGTATTGATCCACTTGAGTATCCTGGCGTTCTGCCTCGTGCTCTTTGAAAGGGCACTACATAAACTGGAGCACAAGTTCCCTCTTTCGGAGAAATACCAGCACATGCTCAAGAAGGCGTATCGAGAGCTCATGGTCCTCGGTTTGATCAGTCTCGGACTCAAGATCCTCAGAGAGATCCCCGACATCGACAGCTACAGCAAGACCATATTGGCCTTCCAAGTGGCCGATTTGACCATCTTCCTTCTAGCGCTGGCCCTCATTGTACAGTCCACCGGTGTGTTTCTACTACTGCGCAACCAGAACGACCGAGCTGAACGAGCTGAACTCATCACGACGCAAGACCTGATCAACTCGGTCAACGGATCCAAAGGTTCCGACGATGCGGTGCCCACTTTCTTTCAGACGCTGTTCTGCTGCGGCAGGTCAGCCAAGAAGAGAGCCAACGACAGAGAACTCATCGAGTTGAGACTTCTGCGGCGTCTGTTCGTTCACCGCTTCGGACTACCGCAGCTCTTCCCGTACTCCAAGTACCTCAGTCGAGCTCAAGCCAACCAGATCGCGCACATGATTGAGGTAGAGCCGGTGATGTGGGTCGTGCTGCTCATCGTGGCGTGGGCAATTTGTGGCCTGCTGGAGATACTCAAGACCCTCGATACCGACATGCCAGAGAGCCACGAGCTCGTCGAATCTTTCATGATGTTCGCGTGGGCGTTGCTACTACTCCACGTCATGGTGCGCTCATACCTTCGCTCCTGTATACACCACCTCCTCCACTCGGCAGCATTCAGTAACGACAAGGCCACACTTGTTGCCAACCTGAGCGTTATCGCCGATGAAGAAGCCGAAGCGTGGAAGAATGAGGAAGCAGACAAGGCACTAGAGATCATGGGGTGCATCCAAGAGCATCACGAGGAGCTGGAACTCCAACGTGAACGCAACAAAAGAGCGGGTGTAGGACACCTCAACAAGCGACGCAGCAGCCTGGCAGAGGAAGGCGTCGTGCCCGGGTCTCCTACCATCGAGATCCGCTTCTTCTCACACAAAGGATGGCACATTGGCGTCATGCTGCTGCTCATCCTCAACGGGTTCCTCATCACCCTCTTTGTACAGTGCGCATTCTACGACATGGACGACATCTACGAAGACTTTGGTACACTCCCGACGATCATGGTACCGCTCCCGCTGGTGCTTAACGCCGTGATTCTACAGCGTCACATCTTCTACGACTTTGTCGTCGTCAGTAACACACTGCGTATCGATTCGCAGACACTTAGTGACGTCGTGGAGAATTTCAGTGAGATCGTTCACGTACGATCCGAGTTCGCTACCACTCTACTGAACCACATTGTCCAACAAGAACTTACTATCGTAAATCTCCAGGCCGAACTGAAGGCCCGAGACCGAACCAGCTCTGGGTTCATCGATGTTGACGATCTTCGTGAGGTTCTGTCGAAGTTCGGCTTCCGATTGACGCGCTATCATTTCAATAGTGTCGTGAAGCTGTTGTTTCAACTGGAAGGTACCACCGTCGCCTACTCACACGTAGTGCGTCTGGTGCTCATGGCTCAAAACGAAAACCTCTTCGAAACGATGTCGGTTCGTCACCAACAGCCACACCCGTTGTTGCGACCGAGTGTCATGATGTATGACGATCTGGGCCAGTCAAGTATGCGGTCCCAGTCCAACTACAACATCTTCAACTCGACGCGACAAGTTCCCGTGATGGTACCGCCTAACACGGACGAACCCAACGCATCCGACTTTGTGACTATCACCGTGAGTAGCAATATGCTCCCGCAAATCTCAAACCGTGGTAGAGGAATAAGCATGGAGCGTCCTAGTGTCAGCTCGCAGGCCTTATACGACATGTTCAACCTGCACCGCTTGTCGGAATCCCGCGTTCAATCAACCGTCATGATGTCGTGTCGTTACTCAAAACTCTTGTAACTCGTCGATATGTGGATAAATTAGCCGTAAGCGTAAAATAAACCGGTACATGTATCGCTATTTAGTACTTCATTGTTTTTTTTGGCACTGCTGTTCAAAAACAAGCATGCCTTTTTTCAAATACTATACTCAAAGTATACCTCTACAGCCGTATACCAAAAGGCTCCCAACGGCATAGGTTGAGCAAGTAAAAAGAGAAGTCGTTCCTTTGCTCACAATCTAAGTCGTGGTTTGCTTCGATCATATCGCCACATCAGAACTCGGCGCAAGCCATCATTCTCGTATTTACCTCCATTACAGCTGTGCGAAGTGCTTACGCTAGCGATGTTGTACAGGTTCAAGGTACAGTACAACTTCTTTTAAAACTCTGCAATATCACTCAAGGTGAGGTGATACCTATCCTAAAAATCTCGACTGAAGTACTACATCAATTAGATTACTTGAACAATCAACATTGTATTCTTTCAAGCTGTACATGTAATTTTCTCCCCTGTTTTCCCGTTGACATGATACTTGGTGTAGCGGCCGTATCCGACCTGAACCCAGCGCACCTTCCACAGGTTTTCAGTGTTCGTATCTAAACTGACCGTAGTAAACGATTGCTCAGCGTTGCATTTCACCCACTGACCGTGGCCTGCACAGACCCAGCGTTGCGTCTGCTTCTTTTCGTGGGTCTTTTGTTGAGCCGACTTGCTCTCAAATTGAAAGGTCCCACTCGATGGAGCTTGTTCAACCTTCGTCTCGCAAGCTTCTGTCTTGAGTGGGATAGGTTCTTTCTCTTTAACACCGTCCTCCTCTTCCTCGACAATGTCTAGCTCTTCGACGATATGTTCTGGAATCGTGGAGCAATCGGTCGACACAGTCGGCGCTTCGGAGCTGAGATCTTCACTGTTAGCTCTGCGTTTGCCAGACAGAAACGGGTTGCACTTGTTCAGTAGTCGGTCAGTGCTCGCCTTCGGGAAGCCCTGGTGTAGGTGCCCATCTAGAATGAACGAGGGGGCGGACTCCCAATTAGCGAGCGCCACAACTTGCACTCTTTGAGAAGTTGGAGGGGTGTAGAGCATTGCGTTGTCCGGTTTAACCAACTTGCACAAATCGTCGAATGCGATGTGATTTTCGTCGACTGTTCCGTTTTTCTTGGTCGAAAGACGAGCGCCATCGAACGATTTCCGTCGCGAATTCCTGGCCAGGGCCATGTCTCCGTCCACTCCTTGACTGAGCAAAGGCTTGGTGGTGTACTTGATCACGAATTGCCAGATCTTGAGCGCGGCGCGCGTCATTTGGGCGATCGATTTCATCCGGAAAAACGTGCATTCGACCTTCATGTCGTCTCTCTTTAGTTCGCTCAGCGCGTGCGCGTTCTCATGGGTCGTTGTAGTGCTTCGTGGCGAATTGAAAAATGTCCTCAAGCAAATGCAGATGAAAAGTTAAGCACTTGTTGTGCTTTGTGACACGCATTGGAACGTCCTGGTCAAGACTGAACTTGTATGGATGGCAACAGCTCCGACCCAGCTGGCCTAAATCGGTCTCAGCAAATGCCCAATCTTTTCCATTTTTGCTTTTGGACTGAAAAGATGGCAAAAGGCAAACACATGGCCTTCCAAATTTTGTCACAATTTTCTTTGGCATTGCCATCTCTTGGCAACATCGCTTTTGGCAACATCGCTTCTGGAATGACAGGAAATGTGCAACTTATGAATAAATACCCGATGAAAACGCTACTATATCTTACTGTCTTTAAGCTCTTGTCTTCTTGCGCTATCGTACACGTTAGTTGCTTAGGAAATCCTCTATGAGCTTAGGTAATGTTTGGCGCAGTCGACAGTGTCGGTCGCGCTGAGCTCGTGACTGTGCAAAGTCCACGAGGTCTGATAGAAAACGCTCGAGGATCTTTTTGCGCTGCTTCTTGGTGGTCACAACGCGCACGAACCAGAGTGGCTGGGCGGCGTGGAACCTAATGTACGTCCGGAGCTGGCGGCAGTACTGGCATAGGAAGTGCGCGTTCATGCACGAGGCTGCTTCTGCCTCGTGTCGAAGCCGAGCAAAGTCCGAGAACCGGCGTCGAGCAGACAGACTCGGGTGACGCTCACGTCCCGATGCCGATGCGCTTGTTGGAGTCGCGGTGCTGAGCTGCGACACGGAAGATAGTGGCAGTCGGAGCTGCGTAGGTGGCGGCGAGGAGTTCCGCATAGTGGGGATGTTGGAGGCGGAGTAGGAGAACATGTAGCTGTCCACCACGTACAATGTGGCACCGTCGCGTGTGCTCGTCTGGGTGTCCATGATCCGGATCTGGTCTAGGTTTGATAGAAATTCTACGAATGAAGGCGGCGAGCGGTCGTTTGGAGCAGACGACACCGGCGCGAGGTTCGTTTGGGACAGCGCTGGCAGCGGCTTTAGCTTGGGCATCGAGCGGGCAGAACTCAGCAGCTCTTCCCGGCTAATGACCGTCTCCGCGATCGGGGTGATGGCTTCGCTCATCGCTCTCTTTCGAGGTGAGGTGGAAAAGTAGAAGTGAAGAGACGAAATGGCGCAAGTACTCGAAAGAGCACTGGTCAGAGAAGCTGAAGTTGATGTGGGTTATGGGTACGGTACTACTGTTCGGCCTGGTGTAAACAAAGTGCTGCCCTTCGCTATGACATGGAATTATACAATTGCGCCTTTGTCTCCTGAACCGCTTATTTAGGTCACGCTGAGGTGACGTTGGCCACTCGTGGTATAGATGGATTGGACTTGTACGCTCTCATGGTTTTCGATCGCATAATGTCGTTCGACGACTACCTCGTCGCCATTTCAAATTTCACCGACCATCATGGAAGTTGCCATTGCCTCGATGGATTTTCACTGAGCCGTTTCATTTTTTCAGCACTGTTGATGATGGCGACTCGCCACGGCAACCATGGCGTCCGAGCAATCATCCACGATTCTTCAAATCGCTGCCTTCTTTGATTTGATTGCCGTGTGCTCAAGACTTTAAAATTATGCATTAAAACGTGACGTGTTGGTGTCGACTTTAGTCTGATCCTGCTAAGTACATTCATTGTACTGAGCCAAGCTTGCACTGCAACAACAAAAAAAACATGGTTAGAAAAAAACTATGGATCCATTAAACTTCAGATTGATTAACCAGAAAAGTGTAGGTTATGAAAAACGCGATCAAACTGTGGAACAGAACTGCTGGCTATTTATCGGATTTTTTACGCCTTAACATTGCCCTGTAATAGGAATGCACTCACGAGTTCGGGAACTAGTTGCTGTGCTTGGCACTTTCGTTTGCCGGTCTTCTGTACTCGCCGTTGGCCCATCGAGACAAAATCGTTGATGAAAGTCTGTAGCACTTGCTTACGCTTCTGCTCGCCAGCGAACCGCTTAACCAGCCCCCGTGGCTGAGAATCGTATGTACTCGACGAATTTGAGGCAATACTGACAGGAACACTGTCGCTCCATACTCACACAAGAAGAAACGCTCCTCCGCAGCTCCTCGAAGTCGCTGAATCGGCGCTCAACCTTGAAAGTCGGAAAAGTTGCTGTCACTCGCTCTTCGTTCGATCCAGGCTTGCCAATGGGCAAACGCGACACCGGCTTACTTAGGAATACCTCCAGCACGAACATCAATTCGTTGTCTGCATCGGCTCGCGTCACGTTAATTTCCACGCGCTCGACGCTCCAAAGGAACCCCAATGGTAGAGACGTGTTCCAGCGACGATGAGCTTCAAGCTTGAGGCCCAAATACGGCTGCACTCCTTCCAATGATACGCTGGATGTTGGAGACTCGGATGTGAGAGGGTCACCACTGGACGATACTGGCGACAATCGCCTTGGGTGCAGCACCATTTCAGGAAGATTTGTCTCGCTTGGTACGCGAACAGCAGACATTTTTTACAGATTAAGCTATGAACGTTGCCTAGACGACTAGGCAAATCGTAAAGTGACCGATTGATCGATACGATTCCGACGACATTATTGTCGCATACGGGGCCAATCATCTGCAGGGCACCATAATCGCGAAACATTCATAAACAGAAATCTGCATAATCGAGCTGAAAAATGGATCATACTCAAAATTCGAACAAATCGTTTATCAGAAGACAATTTGACCACAACTGTGATTTTGATCTACTACTAGTATAAACTATCCGCGGATATGAGCTGTCATAGGTTCAGAAAGGAAGCCTTCCATCTTAGAAACGCTCGTAGCTTGGGTCTTCATCATCGTTCGATTACGAAAACCAGGCAAAATGGAATTGCCACGCGATCGACTATTACTACGTATTAGAGCTGTCGACGTCGCTCGAGAGGGACGTCCGAAATTTACGAGGGACGTCCTGCCGTGTCGAGAGGTGTATCTCGGGACGACCTGGGACGTCCGAGGTGTAAAATCGCGGATACACCGGACGTCGACAGCTCTACTACGTATTACCAGGTATTGCACTTTCCACGCTGACCGTCAAGCGTGTTATTTACCTCAATGGAACTCATAAATTATAAAAGCTTTTACTACCAGTAGTACAAGTCACTCCTGCACCTTCACATAACGGCCATATCCAACGCGAACCCATTTCGTCGCCGTTCGTCGACGAGAAAGAAACTTGCAAACGTTAGATCTCCTGGCGGGGCTTGACGCCGTGAATTCCTCGTCCAGCGTACTCTCCGACAGGTCGCTGCCCGCAATGCTGCAGCATTCGGACACTTCCGTGGCTGCTTCTGAGCTCGCGTCGTCGTCGTTGCTCGAGGGCATTCCGTCGCCATTCTTTTCGGAGAAATGGTATCCTGTGAGTGCCTCGAGATCAGCTAGCGAAACGACCCCCGACGCCACCACAGAGAGAGCAGCTTCACGCATGATCGAGGTCTCGTCGGACTCTTCTGGGGGCGTTGGCCTTGATACTTGGCTGGCCTTACAATACAAGACGTCGGAGGTCTTCGCGGTGGGACGAGATTGTCCGCGCTGCTTGCGAGCGCGACTGACCGCAAGTTTCCAGAGTGTGGCGATCAGTCGAGCCGTCCACAATGTGGTGGCCGACTTGGAAGCCGAAAGTGAAGACGATGGCAGGGCGGCTTGCATGGCAGAGGGTTGGGCTCTGTTCGCTCTTTTCGAAAGTGAGAGCTTGTCAAGCGGAGCCTTTCGCTGAGTGCCGCTCCTCTCGACGAGCTGAAAAGGCGCACACATGGTTGCCTGTCACCCTGCTCCTCCAAGGGTGCAGGGTGGCTGCAGCTGTCGATGAGCTCATTCCTGATGATTTGGACCTTGCAGTCCTCCATTACACAGTAACCGCAAGCTTAGCTGAGTCTCAGCAGCCTGAGAGGACTTTACAAGCAAACCTGTACAAGGAAACCTGTACATTTTACAGCTCATGTCGAGCTGAAATTCGGTAGCAGACAAGCAAATGGCGAGAGACTCATCCCAATGTGAAGACATCAGGCCAGAAAAAGCTCAGAGAAACAATGCAAATGGTTGGAGCCCCGACGGTCACACATGTCCGGTGCTGTCACCAGGTAGTGTTCTTCCACCATCGTTTCATATCGGTGCCTGTAAATGAGCCCCAGTGGTATATTCGTTTCATCATTAATCGTGCATGGACAAGTCACAGTAGCATGGCCGCCCACTTCAACCTCCAGAGTGATTGTGCGACAAAAAGATCATCATTCTTTTTTCTATTGTTCAATTATCTTGCTATGGTAATAAGTTCTTTTAGAAGTAGTTTGTTTAGCTGTAAAGTGAGTCAAGTAGTGCCTGGTATTTTCGATCCACAGCGCGACGGCAAACGTCCCCCGTGTCTGGATCGAGTTCACCCGACTCAACGGAGAAATCTGCAGCCATGAGGATCCATTTACGCACTCGAGATCCTGATACACAGCAGACTTGAGGGAGTTTCTCCAACACCCAGTCAAAATGGACTGCCCATTGCTGGCAGCGAATAGCCTCTCCGACTGTAGTAGCAGGACTGCCAATAGCGTGGCCGACTTGAAGTGCATCTTCATCCAGTTGTCGACCACTTGCGTGTTTATTGTTGCCAGCAACAATTCGAGACGTCCCGGTGCTGGTCTTGAGGAAGAACAATGCACTTAAAAAGGTGCGGCCGTCGCCTACCAGCACTGCACGGTCCAGTTCTGGCATCAGCTCCTTCATGGCAAATTCGAATGGGTGAACAGGCACCCAGTCGCCCGTCGAGAGCACAAGGAAGTCTCTCGGGTCACTAAGCCGAAGGAAACCAGTGGGGGTTAGGAACGCGCGTTGTCGAAGTCGAAGCCATCCGTCCGAATTATTCGAGGACGTGAACTGGTCACTTCCATCGTAGTTGTCACTATTAGGAGCATACCGATACCCCATAAAGACGTTACGTCCGCGTAAAACCGTCTCTTGCGAGCGCTCATCACAGCGGATAGTGGTACCTGGCAACGCACGGCCAGAGCTTCCAAATTCCCACGCATGAGGGAAATTTATGGCCGCGAAGCCACAAGTTTCAGCAGTTCCGAAAAGCTGATATATCGGAGTATCAACGGTCTTAAAAAGGCGTTCAAGCTCAAAGTCCAATGGCGCTAAAAGAGAGTAACAGGCGGTGCAGCTTTCGAGTCCCACTTTCTTCTTGATATTGTTCAGCACAAGAGCCTTGGCGAGCATGTAGCCGAGACTACGGTGCTTGGCTCCTTTGCCTCTTGCGAAGAGTAATTTCTGCGAGTTGTTGGTAGCGCGTATCTTTGCCCAGCGGTAGATGGCTGCATTCACGTCACCTTTGGCTCGATACACTTGTTCACTGAAGCGTGTCCATGTAGCGGGAGTCGCGAAGAACACGGTGGGTTTGTGGTCGGTAACTACACGTACAAGTGGGCGATCATACGTTGGGGCACAAACTACCGACAGTCCGGCGACGAGCGGAACGTAGAACTCTAAAATTTGCGACGCCACATGGTGTAGTGGGAGGTATCCGACCAGGCGATCGCGAATATTGAGGCCGAAGCTACGCACCAGGGCAGCAGCTGTGAACAGCACGTTGTCGTGTGATAATTCTGCGGCTCGGACGCGTCCTAATGCGTCGTAATCGAAGCCTAGGAAGCAGCATTGGTCGGGCATGACACTACATGCCAGTGACTCGATCGACGGTGTCATAGCAGCCTCATTGGTGGCGAGAGAGTTGATTGCTACGAGATCTTCAGCGCCAATGACATTAATACTAGCGTGAAGACTCGCAACAGCACGGTCAGTTGCATCAAACCCGCCGAGAACCACCACAGCCCGAACAGAAGGTCGCAAGTCGTCGGGCTGATCGTCAAGAGCTTCTAAAGCCTCGCGGAAATTATCTTTCAGTGTGTCTACAACCACAATTGTTGCTTTTGCAATTGGGAAAATCTCATCTCGAAGCTCTCGTGCACTCCATGAACTACGAACGTGAGACACTACACCACCCAATGACACTGTTGCAAGGTTCACTGCTTGCAACAAAGGACTCATTTGCGCAGTGACAATCACTCCATCTCCAGTGCAAAAGCCCAGTTGCGAAAATGCTCTTGCCACACATCGCACTCGAACAGCATGTTGCGCCCATGAAAAATTCACATTTGTCTGAAACTCGCGGCCACTGAGTGCTGGTTCGTCGGCAAAGTTGCCTACAGTCTTCAAAAAGGTATTCCACACCGTATCAGGTGTGGCAGTGACCATGGCGGCAATTGTCGAGGCGTCTCTATCCGAGTCATGCGACACACTCAGCGCTCGACTCCAAGCGCGCACTCTGCTACCTCGATTTGTGGCGCTGCTATAGCGATTTCTTCTGTCCATTAACGTTGGGTCGCTCTCGAAGCTGCCGCGCGAATACATGTACCCATTCTTGGACAACTCGCTGCTCATCCTTTCGACAGTCGATTCGATTTTTATCTCGCTGAAGGGACGGGACTGATGCAACAATGCCACTTTCTTGTGGTGCTGGCAATTCTCTTCTTCTTCCTGCGTGTCCTTGCGATGAAGAGTAAACCTCCGTCTGCGTCTTCCAGGCGGGGGAATGTCACTGGGCTTGGGCGTCCAGACGTCGCCCGAGCTTGTGGACGGACGAGTGTTGCCGGAAGTCGGGGCTCGCACCACCGTCGCAGTGAACGAAATCATGTCCGAAGTCAAGGGCCGCGCAGCTGCGGTCGTGTCGCTGATGTTACTAATCATTGTTGGGGCAAATGTGCTGATATTATCGTCACTTTCTCGGTTTGTAGCACCCGCGTGGTCAGCGGCGCGCCGGTCGCTCCTGGAAGTGTCCGGACAGCATGCCACCGATGCCGATGCCGCCGAGGGCATGTGCGCTCGAGACGGTAATAAATAAACTGATCTGGAGGAATGAGAGCATGGGTGTTCGATTGGCAGTTTTTTGCGTTAGATACTGTGATAAAATAAAGTGTGCTAATTGGATAGTTACGCAATCTGGTAACGACATGGATTGGACAATTTTCGTTTCGAACGATACTACTGGATGAAACAGCGTCTCTGCCGCGGCTTTGTGATCGCGTGTCCCAACCCCAGCTGTGCAAAAGTGACAAGGTCAAGTGCACCAGGCACATTGTCACAATGATTGTGCCTTTATTGTGCCGCACAATACTCGGAGCGCCGCCATCTGCCAGATTTCTGCCTTGTCGAAGGTGTCGCCTTCCCTCACAACAAGGCGTGAATGCTTCTGGTGTCAGCTTGTGTCCACAACTCGAGATAACCCAAGTGTATGTCGAAGTCAAAACGTGAACCCACGTTGCAGACGAGGCTTTTGTCTGAGGACAGGAACGTACCGGTTTGGCTCGGACTCTTTGCCGCGACTGCACTACAAAACGAAACACGATGAGTAGAGCAAAACCTTAAACCTGTATTTGTAGCTTGTCTTGTGGGCTTTTTCCCGCTCAACTCTGGCGGATGTGGATCCCTGTTTCCTGCCTTCTGTTGCTGTGGTGACGCGGCGGTGGCGTCGGGTCTGCGTGCTCCAGTCCCAAGTTGCCTAGATTCTCAAAGTCCGCGCCACAGAGCTCTGTGAGCCTCGACATGGGGAACGCATCTAACGCCTCTGCCTCCATATCGTCGTACACGGCCTGCAACGTCGACGCCTTGAGATCTTTCACCAACGCGAACTTCCATTGCGCGAAAACATCCGAAGCGATGCCCATTCTGCAAAAATTTAAAAAAGTTAGTTAAGTACAGACAGCAAAAATAATCCTCAAATAGCGTCGTACCGTTGCCGGATGCGCTCCTTGACTTCACCGACAGTCTCTTGCTCACTGAAGCGCACGATGCAGGGCACGCCGTGCGGATGGATCCACTTGTTCGCGTTGTTCTGGAAGTTGAAATGCACCACGCCTCGGTAGAACCACAACGGCCGCTCGTCATCCGACATGTTGTCCTTCGATAAAGTTTCAGAGATTTCATCACTCAACTCGTCGATGGGGATCTGTTCTACCAAAATCTCGGGTGTATTGGCATCCGCTCCGTGGCCAGTTCCCCAGTATCGCTTCAGCTCTGCGTCCTCCTTAATCACGCGCCGGATCATCGTTCCATGTTGTACTACCTCGCACGCACGTAGAGGCGTGTCCTTCGGTAGTCCGAATCCGCCTCTTATAAGTTTTAGCAGGTCACAAACTTTGTGAGTAGGCAGCACGAGCACTTCAACACTGCGATGCGGCGCAACAGGAGACGGCGACGCAGCCTGTTCCGTAGCAAAGCAGGCGTCGTAGATACTCAAATGCACCAGAAGTTCCTTCTTGGCTTCAATCTCCGTGATCGGATGCTCCAGTAGTTCGTAGTGCAAGATGTTGGTACGCTCCATATACTCAGTGAGTAAATCGTCCAGTGTCGTTTGATCATCCGCAGCATAGCGGGAGTGACGCAGTGGCGCCTTCATGGGCAAATTATTGAGTGGCGAGTGCTGGTACAGTCGCACAAACAGTCTTTTTGGACCAATGAGATCGAGATGCGCTGCCACTGCGTCGATCACCTCAATGTACAAATTGCTGAGTAGTAATTGGAGAGTGAAGAATTCGTCCGAGTGTCCATAGCGATAAAACGTCACTTCCACGCGGTCTAACAGGTACCGGAAGTAGGATCGGACGTCCGGATACGACCGTCTCTGGAGCCCGTGGCTATGAGAGCCCACGCTGTCGTATGCAGATAGATCGTCAATATCTGGGGAGACCACAGCCTTCACTTCCTGTCCGTCTGGACCAATGTACGTCTCCACGGCGTCCGGATTGTCTTCCGGATCCGGCTTGAGCACGATATCGTCCACCGGTTCCTCGTCTTCTGCATACTGGAAGCAAATGATGTCTCCGTTCTGGATCTCAGCAGTGGCGAGTGGCGTCTCCAAGCAAATCGTCGACACCGTGACGGGCTGAACTTCCTCAAATAACAGAATTCGTCTAGATGAGGGGATCGCCAGTGCCTCATGCAGATAGTCGGCCAGTTGGGCGCCAGTTAACCGCGAATCCACCACGACATTGCCCACGTATTCCAGTCTTTCGCCGAGTTTCTTCTTGAGGTCGTAGAACTTGATAATCAGTAAAATATCGTGACTTTGCAGTGGCGGAGCATGCTCTACGACGCTGTCAGTAGACTCATGCAAAACAGCGTCGTCCTCGTCCAGTTCTTGACTCGGTTTGGCCTCGTCTTTCGTCTCTGGAGGCGAGAATTCGTCCAGGAAATGCCGGTGGATAGCTGCTGTCCTGGTCTTCTTGTCTCGTACGTCGTGGATCGATGGCGACGACGGCGACGCCGGGGAAAGTGCAGCTTCAGACGTCGCGTCCAGGATTTGGAGATACATTTTAACAGGAGTCTTAGGTGAGGCGTCGTCCTCAATTAACGAGTCCACACAAGACTCATAGACGTCCGGACCAAGTGGCAGATCCGGCCGTGTCGTGCGGTTCTCGCGCGTGATAACTTTCCACAGTCGTTGTCTTGACATGGGTACACCCGTCTCCTTATACACACGACGGTACAGTTGTCGGATGGACGCGGCACGCTTGATACGGACACGCACCGTGGTCGAGTTATTGAACCCTGAGAAGTCCAGCGTCTTTGTGACCCGCTTGAGCTTGGCGATACTCGAGTCCGACGCGATACGGAGATTCATGTACAGATGCTCGGTCTGTTGCGCCTTCTTGCGTCTAGCAACTGCCTGTTCCTCTTCGTGGAAGCGAGTCACAAGCTCTTGCGGGATCGGGAGCGGGTCACTTTGCCAGCTCGGGAGCTCATACTGCTCTGCTGTGATAGCGTCACTTTCTATCGTCTCGGACGTGACTTCTTCGTCACTTGTTGCGTCTTGAATCGCACTGACGTCGTTCTCGCCGTCACGCACGTATACCAGCATATACGCGCTGGAAAAACTCCTACCAAGTGGCAGCATCAGACTGTTTGACGACGCGTTTAAAATGAGACTGCCACTACCGTTATTCTGGCTGTAATCGTACGTCTCTTCGACTGTATTCTCGCCTGTATCCACCGATCGGAACTCGAGTCCGTCCACTCCGTTCGCCTCGGTATTCGCTCCGTTACTGCGCTCTGGTGAGCAAAAGAGTGACGACGAATACAGAGGCGACGGGGGCTCTGTAGAGCCGTGCGGTGGCGTCACAACCGCTCCTCCAGAGCCAAAATTGCCCTCGACCGCCACTTGTTCGTCCACGCGCGTGATCTGGTCGTCGTCGAAGCGGAACCAGTCGGTACTAGCCGCGATGTGCTTGCCCGGTCGAATAAATACGTAGTAATGACCGCCATGCACGTCGCCGCTGTGCACTAACACACTATGCAGATGATAAATAAAGCTTGGAGACTGCGCGTCGGTCTTCGTCTTGTCCTTCGAGATAAATTCATCCAATACCAGCGTCTTTGGGAACTCGAAGCGGTCGTGCACCTTAACCATCCCGTCGCGCATGGCGTCGTATTCGAAGCGTTTTAACTGGATGTTAAGAACCGGCGGGAATGTTAAGAACTCGATGCCTTTCTTCGCGTCCTGCTTGCCGTGTCCTTCGGCTTCGTACTGGTTGTCTCCATCCAGCATTTCCACCTCGACATATCTGCGGAACGACTGCATTAAGTTCTTGCAGCCTTTCACATCCAGCTGCAAGTCGTAGAACCGCTCCTCTCTACTCGACTGGAACTGTACGTTCACACACTCGACGAAAGACCTGACTTTGCCCTCGAACAGCTTCTGGATCGCAGAGTCCACGGGCGTGTTCTTCATCTTTTCCTCCAATCGATCGCACAGAATCCGGTACAATTCCTGCACGTCATGCTGCATGAACGAGTCGATCGCGCTCCAGCCAAAAGAGCGCGTTAACTCCTTGGTAGACACGGCCTTCTGCTGTCTCTGTAGCCTGTAAAACACGCGCTGTAACGCCAGCGACACCGAGTCGTTCGTGTCTTCCTGGGCGGTTGGTGTGGCGTACACGACCTGTCGGAAGGCTCGCAAGTGGAAGAGCGTCTGTAGTAGCGAGTTCAGGTAACACGTGGCTCCCTGGTTCTTCAGTCCTACCATCCCAGTCTCCTCCTTGGAGTCGTAGGATATCAATTGCTGGGTAGACTGCGAGTCTGCCTCCTGAGTGGCAGAATGACTCGAGTCTGGAGCTTGTTCTTGCGCTTCTAGAGCGGCAACGTCGCCTACGAAGCTCAGACGCAGCTCGAGTTCCACGCGGCCTTGTTTGTCCAGGAATTGATTGCTCGGGTTCATCAATTCACTCCTCTGAACGAACTGACTCATGCCAAAGTCGGCGTTTTCCGCGGTAAACTCGTGCACGCTCGTGTGTTTCACAAGCGCAGGCTGTGCACCTTGATTCAACAGTGTGATACTCAGTTCTGCCACTCTGACGGCTCCTGAGTCTTGTTCGACGAGCTCCACGAACACGCCGACGAAAGAGTCGTCGGTGAGGCTTCTGGGCTGCCAAATAACGCGCCAGGAAGCGCCCTGAGCGTCTTTTTGAGAGGGCGTCACGACACGCTCGTTGCCCAGCCCTAGAACAGGAAACGTTTCGCGAAAAACTAGCGTTGGCAGCGCTGCGTCCGGACTTTTAGCGGGTGACGAAGGTTTCGAGCCGTCTGGAGCCGCCTGTGCCTCGCTACTGCTGGGAATTTCATGGGCAGAGTGCGACGTGTCTACGTCCATGGGCTCCACATCGGCGTCGGTCCGCGTGTTGAGCTTCTTGCGGCGCTGGGCCTCGGGCGGCGAGTCGCCCACCGGACTCCGACGCTTCTCCACCATGACGACGATTGACTGGGAGCGGGTGGTTGGAAGATAATGGGACGTTTTTCAACCAATTGAAGCGTCCCATTATAGATATACGATTATGGGGGAAGTAGCTTCAACTTGTGGTTTCTATAAAACTAAAGAGGCTCTTGAACTCACGAAGCAAAGCATAACAATGTGCTGGCGTACAGTACCTTCGCAGCACAGTTTGATACCCAAGAAGTAAAGAGGGCTCGTTGCCGATCACATATAAACGAATTTATGTGACGGAATATTGGAGCTCACTCTACAGTTGTCGAGATGGCAGGAACGTCACTCTTTCGTGTCGGTGAAGATGTCGAATTGTGGAGGGTATTGATCTACGGTGCTTGAGTATTCTGTCTCGTGCTCTTTGAAGGAGCACTGCATAAACTGGAGCACAAGTTCCCTCCTTCGGAGAAATACCAGCACATGCTCAAGAAGGCGTATCGAGAACTCATGGTCCTCGGTTTGATCAGTCTCGGACTCAAGATCCTCAGAGAGATCCCCGACATCGACAGCTACAGCAAGACCATGTTGGCCTTCCACGTGGCCAGTTTGTCCATGTTCCTTCTAGCGCTGGCCCTCATTGTACAGTCCACCGGTGTGCTTCGACTACTGCGCAACCAGAACGACCAAGCTGAACGTGCTGAGCTCATCACGACGCAAGACCTGATCAACTCGGTCAACGAGTCCAAAGGCTCCGGCCCAATTTATTCCAGACGCTGTTCTGCTGCGGCAAGTCCGAAGAAGAGAGTCAACGACAAAGAACTCGTCGAGTTGAGACTTCTTCGACGTATGTTCTTTCCCGGCTTCGGACTACCGCTGCGACTGAGGTACTCCAAGTACCTCAGTCGAGCTCAAGCTCACCAGATCGCGCATATGATGTAAGTGGAGCCGGCGATGTGGGTCGTGGTGCTAATGGTAGTGTGGTCAATTTGTGGACTGCTTAAACTCCTTAATTATTACATGCCAGAGAGCCACGATCTCGTCGAGGCTTGTATTGTGTTCGCTTGGATTCTGTTTCCGCTGGAGTGCTCCTGCGTTCGTCATCTCCTGTACATCAGCTCATTCAGTAGTATTGAATCAGTACCACCGATACGACCACCCTCGTTGCCTATTTAAGCGCGATCGTTGATGATCTTAACGACATCGGCACGAGACGAGAAGGATCGAATGAAGTCGTAGTAACTCCTCTTTCTATTAACAATTTTAACATCACTTCATTTTCTCACAAGGGCTGGCACTCAATTATTCTGCTCCTAATTATTTACGGATTCCTCGTTTCCTTGTTTATTCCATGCGCGGTGAATGAACTGGGCGACATCTACGAGGAGTTTGGTGTACTGTACCATTATACCCGCAGTCATTGTGCCACTACTTCAACGCACTCGTCTGGCAGCATCGTATGTTCTACGATTTGTCATTGTCAGCAGTATGCTACTTCGAAGTAAGTGTTGATTCACACACGCTCAGTGACGTTGTGGAAAAGTTCAGCGAGGTAACACGCCTGAGGTCCGAGTTCGCCACCATGTTACTTTTCCACATTGATCAGCAGGAGTTTGATATCTTGGATTTCCGAGAAGAGCTGAGCGATCGAGATCGATTCAACTAGTGGGCGAGCTACGGGGTGTCCTGTCAAAGCTTGAGTTTTGCTACCGTTTCAATAGTGTCATGAAGATCCTATTTGAGCTTAAAGGCACTACAGTCGCTTACTCGCAACTTGCGAGTCGCAAGTGGGGCACTTATTGATGATTGCTGATGGCTCAGAATGAAAACGTGAATGAAATAATGCCCGGCCATCAGAAATTGAAGGTACTATGATGAGTGACGATCTGAGCCCCGTTCAGCTTGCGGTCTCAGCTCACGTACATGTAAAACATTCTCAACTCAACTTTGACAGGTGCTGGTGATGTTATCCCCCCAACAAGGACGAGCCCAGTATCGCTATTAAAAAATAATATATTAAGACTTCGATCCCAAAGGCCTCACACCGTGGCGATCATTGGAACCTTCAGCCAAATATGGTTCGCCCCCGCGTTTTGTCCCACAATACCCATGCCAGCACCGTGGGGCAATACAAATAATGAACGACAATATAGCGGTGATTGATTTAGAGCAAAGTAATTTGATATTTGAAAAGCCATAGCCCGTAGCTTATTTCCCTGCTTCGCGGTTACAATCCAGACACTAAAAAATGCCTCTGACTGTATGATTTTGCTTAGTTGAGACATTGCTTATTTTGCTTTGAACACTTCAGGTATATCGCATGCAGTTACTTGACCTTAGTGCACCCACCTAGACATCGAACGTGACGGTTGAGTTGGCGGTGGATATAACTGGCGGTTGCAGTGCAACTTGCACGCACACAGTACTGTACGATAAATTCCTCTCAAACAACGGGTTGCACATCCTGAAATACAGCACATCCTCAACATGCTCCAAGTGCTTCAGCCTGAAGTTCAGGCTTAACTTGAGCCGAATGAAGAGTAAGGTGCTCCCACATCACTAGTCAAAGGCTGATGACTTGGGACGCTGTCGCTTTTGCGATTAAATCACAGGACAGTTCAGTGACAGGAAGATGCACAATACAATTCTTCTATAGAAACGTCAATTATATTACTGCTCAATTCGAGCCGATAGGATAATAGCAGAGCACAATCGACTGTATTGAATTAAGTCATGATCCAGTTCATTGGCCGGTTTGCTGTCTGTTCTATGCAACATAAGCAACGATTCGCGACCATCACTAGTCGGCATAAATTCCGCAGACTCGCGGCACCGGGATAAATAGCTTCCGCGCGACGCGTGTGCAGCTATCGAGAGGTCTCTGTGTATCTGCAAAAAAATATCACGTTGCCAACACGATGAACTAATGTTCTGCAGAGGTATAGACTCCAAGAGCTACTATAGACTACGAGATAAGCAATTATTTCCGGTGCGGCCGGGAGTATGTAAACCTGTATATTCGTATACAGATGAACATGACCCAAGGATAAAAATACCACTGGGGCCGTTGTATCGTGATAGTACTGCGCACAAAACGTTCTACCCTTTTGATACAGCCAATTTCTGGGGAGAGGTTGCTACGTAGGCTATCAAGGCCCGTGAGGTGCTCGATCTGGTGTTCTCTACCAGGCACCTGACCATGCAACGTGATAAAAATACCCATCCGCAAAAATGGGTAGTCACGCTCAAAAACAGGGACAAAAACGCTTCTAAGATCCTATTTTCTCACCACACGTAGAATTTTGATTATTTGTAATAAAGTTCATTTTGACTTGTGACCATTTGCTTTGGGTAATCAACCCAAATGTACTGAACAGGTAGGGTTTCTGCCAAGTAAAGAGAATGTGCCTTGGCCCAGTATTTTTGCACTCTCACATTGGCCGTCAAGGACGAACAAGAGGTCGCACGTGTGGCCATCCGCCCACTGCCAACGCCACTTTACAGCGATGGACTGGGACCCCACGAACAGCGACAGTGATGGCTACATCTGCCCTCCGTGTCCAGTGTTCTACCCCACGGCCGAGGAATTCCAGCACCCTCTGAAATATATTTCCAGGTGCGGTAATTTATTCGCAGTCTCAACTTCGGCGTCTCAGCAGGCCGCAGCGCTGCATTTCGCCTCAATTCCATCCGTTCCGGCAGCCTCAGCAGCTCTGGAAGCGCTTAAGATGCTCCTATTTGGTCCTGCCCCGACCAAACTGCAGAGACTTTTGATGCCAAACGACGCGATGCCGCTGCGGCTAATCTGAGGCTGAGAACGAAGCTCTAGGACGCCGTACTGGCGCCCTGACCAATGACGAGATCACTCTACTCACCATTACCCTTTGCTTTCTCTTGTGTAGCATCCGCCACATCGGCATGCAAGCCGGTATCTGCAAAATTGTGCCTCCGTCGGGCTGGCGTCCTCCGTTCGCTATCAATGAAAAGACGTTCCGCTTCCGGACACGCGTGCAGCAACTTAACTGCATCGAGGGCCATTCCCGAGCAGAAGGCCAGTTCGTCGAGGCTCTGAGACTCTTCCTGTACCAACGCGGACAGCCCATGAAGGCGCTGCCACGCGCAGACGGCCAGCTGGTGAATCTCCACTTGTTATACAAGTCAGTAGTGTCTCTCGGTGGCTTCGACGCAGTTTGTAGCAGTAGTAGGTGGGAGCAGGTAGTACGTCGCGTAGGACGCACAAAGGCCGCCAGCGAGCCGTCCGACGAGCTCTGTCAAGTCTATAAAGCCCACTATGAGACTACCTTGCTAGCCTACGAGAAGGAGCAGCGCAGCGCCAAGGACAGTAGTAGTACAGTAGAGACCAAGATACAAGCCACTCCTTCGGGCGCGAACGCCACGGGTGATACCAAGGCCACACCGTCGTCTAAACCTCGCACGCTTAGCGGTAGAAAACGTCCTGCCTTCATCAAGCACGAGGAGACAGAAGACGACGGACACCGAGTGAAGCGGACACTCTTTTCCGACGGAGAACAGACCAGCAGCGAAGAGAACGAGGCTCCCAAGACCGAAACGCGAGTACAAGACGAGAAGCGAAAGAGTCTCGAGCCGGCCGCGTTAAAACCGTTAGAAACGCGTCAGTGTCGCCTTGGCGCGCCCGAGATTCGAGCGGGACAGAAATTCTATCGCTTCTTTCCCGATGCCGGCGCCGTCTTAGCGGAGGTGAAGCGCGTCTTTGGCGGGAAGAAACCGCACGTGGCTGTACGGTACGTGGAAGACGGCTCCAACGACGACGTCGAGTTGTCCACGATGGAGATTCTGATCGCCAATGGCTGGGACGCCAGCGCGGCGGAGCTGGCGTACAACAGCGAGATCTGTCAGGTTTGTCTGCGTGGAGATTGCTGGGATCGGATGCTGCTGTGCGACGGCTGTAACAGCGGCCAGCACATCTTCTGTCTGGACGAGCCGCTGGATAAAGTGCCGACTGGAGACTGGTACTGTAAGGAGTGCGTGGACGACGCCATGGACCCGGATAAAGGCAAAGACAACCCCAAGTTCGGCTTCGATATGGGCGCAGAGATCAGTATGGTCGACTACAAGCAACGTGCGGATGCCTGGAAGCGAGACTACTTCTCCTTATCCTCCGATACGAACCCGGACGACGCTATCAGCGACCGCGAGTTAGAAGCAGAATACTGGCGATTACTCAGTATACCGATCCACGAGCAACGCCTCGAAGTGCAGTACGGCAGCGACGTGGACACGGGCGCGAACGGCAGCGCATTCCCTCGCCATGATCTGTATTTGAAGAGCCTGAGAACTGTAGCCAAGCGCTGGAAGAACTTAACGACCAAGGCGAAAACCGACTACGTGCGTCAACTCAGCGAGTTCTTCTCCCACGGTCTGCGTGAAGGTCTGGGCTCGAAAGCCGGGGGGGAGAACGACGCTACCGACGCAGCGCAGTCTTTGGAGGAATTGCTGCAACGCTATGCGCAAGACGACTGGAACTTGAACAACATGCCCAAACTGTCAGGCTCGGTACTGCAGTATCTGGACGAAGATATCAAGGGGATTATGGTGCCGTGGCTGTACGCGGGCATGTGTTTCTCCACCTTCTGCTGGCACGTGGAGGACCACAACTTCTACAGTACCAGTTATCTGCATTGTGGTGCCCCCAAGACGTGGTACGGCATCCCCAGTGCCAGTGCTGAGCACTTTGAACGCACGATGAAGCAACTGACGCCCGAGCTCTTCGGTAGTCAGCCGGATCTGCACATGCAGTTGGTCACCATGTTTTCTCCCAAAACGCTGCGAGAACACGGCGTTCCAGTGTACCGCGCGACGCACCGTCCGAACGAGTTTGTCGTCACGTTCCCGTCCGCTTATCACGCGGGTTTTAACAACGGATTTAACTGCGCAGAGGCGGTGAACTTTGCGACGTTGGACTGGTTGGCTTGGGGGGCCAAGTCGCTGAAAAAATACCGCGAGTTCCGTAAATTACCGGTGTTCTGTCACGACGCTCTGGTGTGTACATTGGCCGAGACTCTGGCGGATGGCAACAGCTTTGACTATGAGAACACACGCTCGTCTTTACTCCCAGCGGTGGAGCAGCTCCTGCAGGATTATCAAGAGTTCCAGCGACGTGTGGACAGCAGCGAGATGCGCGTGGAGAAGCGCGAACTGATGGCGGGGTACGAGAAGCATGGAGCGGTTATTGCCACAGACCCAGAGGCCTCATCGATGCGTCGTAGTATGGTGGCTCGAGCATGCAACAAACCGGCGAAGATGGGCGGCAATAGAGGCTCCAAGATGAGGACGAAGATGGAGACATCCATGCGCCCTACCAGGATGGTGTTGTGGGCGGGTAGATCGGGCAAGCACGAGGGTCTACGCTGTGTGACGTGCAAGCAATACTGCTATCTCCAGGCTGTCGTGTGTACGAGATGTCGCCCCCCACAGGCAAGCAACGGAGGCCCTACCGTTGGCTGTCTGGAGCACTATCCTACCATGTGTAAGTGTCGAGATCCGACCAACTTTGTGTACTTGTATCGCTACGAAGCTTCTCGTCTTGAAGACATGATCCGCAGTCTACGCACACGACTGGATAGTGTCCAGGACTGGAACAAAGAGTGCGACGCGGCGATGCAGGCTGCTAGGGAATATTCCACTCAAGATGCCGTATCGCAGCCAGCAATAACGGACTTGAAGCAATTGTTATCACGTGGTAAAGCTTCAGGCGGTGCCGACATGAGACGTTTGGACTCGTTGGAGTTCTGGATCTCTAGTGCCGACAAGTGGGACGTTCGTGCCGAGCGACTGCTTCTCTCGCTTAGACAGGACCGTTCTGCTGCGAGTCTAAGCGACTGGGAGTCGCTGTTGCTGGAGGCCGGGAAATTACTCGTCAAGCCTTCGACAATGGGGAAACTACGCGACGTCGTCAACGACTGGCGTGCAGCTCGCACTGAAGCGATTAAGCTGCTAAACACCGTGCAACGGATCGTGAACGACGAGATCCGGAACAACGCTCGCCCCAGAAGCTCGTCCGCCGATACGTCGCTGCTTGTACAGTGCATGGGCGCTCCCAACGTGTTGCTACACGACAACGTTCACTTCGGTCGACTGTGTACTGCCATTACGAGAGTTAGCGAGCGTCTACGAGCCAAGAAGGAGAGCGGCGCAGACGGCAGTTTCCTCAGCCAACTGGCACGTGGTCAACGGTATCTGGAAGTGCTGTGCAAGGTGAACGTTCTAGCGGCGACGATCGTGGATCGGACACAAGGCGGGACAGTTATGGGTACGCCGACGCAAGGACAAGTGGAGCGTGTGCTGCGGGAGGTACTGGAGTTACGACTGTCGAATCCGAACTCTATCGCCAACGCTGGAGCGTTGCAGCAACTGGTAGCAGCCGCGGAGTCGGTGGCGCGAGAGATCGAGGACGCGCTACGTGATGGCTCCAAGAGCTCCGAAGAACTAGAAGTGCTACTTCGACGCGCGATAGCGCTACCGATCCCACCAGGTAATACCCAGAGTCTTAAAGATCGACTGGAGAAATGTCGAGTGTGGGAACGTCGTGCGCACCAGATCTTGGCTGTCTCGAGGGCGATGGTAGAGCGTCCGTCACTCGAAGAGGTAGAGCGGTTCTACGCCCAAGCGGACGCCCACTTCGTGTCGGGTTCTTCCTTGCTACGTCGACAAGTGCACTCGCGCTTACAAGACTGTCGGCGATGGCACGACGCCGTCCACGCGCTGTTCTTACGTCCGTCCAATAGTCATCTCCCACTAAGTCAGTTCTTGCAGACTGCGCTGGACAAAGCGCAGCATCAACACGGTCAGAACGCGAGTCAGGCGCTGCAGATTCACTCGCGACTGCACTGTGTTTGTCAGCAAGTGCTCAGTGAACGCGCCCATGTCGCGTCGTGTCAACAATGTCAGCAGTATTTCCATCCGCAATGTGTCCCAGAATTGATGCCGTCGCGTTCCAAAGACGCCTTCCTATGTGGCTCCTGTCGTCCTCAACGCAAGCGACCAGAGCGCCGCAGTACGGACGCCCCGATCTTCTGTCTGTGTCGAGGCGTGGAACGCGCGCCCATGATCTGCTGCGACTTTTGTGACGAATGGTATCACGCGTCGTGTGTCGACTTGTCTCCGGTGGGTCTGGAGACCATCGACGCCTTCCGTTGTCCACGCTGTGCAAGACGACAGCATTTGTACTACATGGACAAGAAACTACTACGTCGTGAGTGTCTGGGTAGAAGACCAACACTCAGTCGCGTCGAGAGCTTCGTGGCGCAGATGCAGACGCAGTTAGTGGCGTGTCCTCCGGGAGCTCAAGAGCTCGTCGCATACATCCACACCGTCAAGACAGTGGAGAGCGACGTCACGGCGTTCGTACGCACCTTCGCGTCGCGTGCGTTCTCGCCCGCGGCGTACGCTACGGAGCAGTATGTGCAGAGTCAAGAAGGGGCAGTGATTCGCTTGATGGAGCGCGTGACGAATCTCGAAGTGGGGCTCGAGACGGCGCAGGTTCAGTTAGGCGCAGTGCATTGGTGTCTACGCGCGTGTCAACTGGTACTGGGACCGAGTGACAGAGCGCCACGATACGCACACTTGGTGGCTCTATTACAAGACGTTAAGAGTCAGGAACCAGGATTCGCCTTCCCTCGTCAGGAGTACCGCCTCATGCAGTGGACGATCGCTGAGCGAGTCAATAAAGCTGCTCAATGGCTACGTGCTGCCAAGTCGCTGGAAGTGGAAGAGTGGAATGTCGAAAAGGCGCAACAGTTACTGCGTCTTTCTGACGAGCTGAGTGCGTATCTGCAACTCCCACCGACCGAGCTGCAACTTGTGCAGAGAATTATTGACGGTGGCATGGCAACACGTGCAGTGCAAGGAGAAAGTCGAGTTGCTTGGAAGAAGCAACGACACTGGTAGTTTTGTTGCCGGTATACACACAACCCTGTTTCTATAGTGCCAAGCACAATTTTACTCAGTATTGCTCTTCTGGTGTTTAAATTCTTCCCAGAGAGCAGCAGGGAACTGGTCCAGAACGCGTTGACGCATGTGCGCTTGCGTCTCGGCGTGGATCTCACGGAAATCTTTCTGGCCGTGATCAGCCTCGGTCAGCACGCGTGGCGCAGCAGAAGTTGCGGTTTGAGTGTCGTCGTTAGATGCCACGAAGCGCACTTGTTCGTCGTCCATTTCCTGGTGGATCGCAACTTCCACGTCACTTTTCAAATCGGTGAAAATCTAAGAAAAAAAAGCAAAAGTTAGTAACAAATGCTGCAAAAAAATAGTAGCGCTGAAAGTAATTTAGGTATGTACCTCCCACTTGGGGAAATTTTTGACGACCTGAGAGGAAACAATGAAATCGTTAGTTGATAAGAAAAATAGAACTATCAGATGAAGAGTGATGCTTTACGCTGAAGAATGTGTGTGCTGGTGGGTCCTTGTACATGCCCGTGGAGGGTAGATTGAAGTCGAACAGCTTGTCTGAAGCGTAGAACACGATGTTTGCTGCCTCGGGCTCATCGGGCGCTTCCATCTCCCGGAAGCATTTGACGTACTTGAACACGCTCTGCAGCGTTCGATAGATCGATTTAGGGGCCGCCGCACGGGGGTCTTGCATGTATCCCACGAAATTCATGACCAACACTCCATCGGTAGTCAGCCAATTCTCACGGACACGCAGCATTTCCTCGCGAACAAAGAACGCGAAGGGATTCCAGCCAGTGTAAACGTCCACAATGAAGAGATCGTAAGGGTTCTCCGTGTCCGTCTCAATGTCAAGATCCTCCGGTTTACTAGCCAGGAATTTCAGGCCATCCATCACGACTGTTCTACCTTGAGGACACTCGTCCTCTTCGCACCATTCATACTGGAAGTAGTCCGCTGCTTGAGTCACCACTGCTTCGCTAATCTCCACCACATCTGTAGTAGAACGATGAATCCTAAAATTTAGTTTACCAACCTAAATATTCCCCGAGGAGGAATTCATAAAATTTACCTGTAGGGATGTCCATTTCTCGTAAAAAGCTCGGCACACTGCCAATACCCAGTCCGATCTGCAGGGCCTTGGTGGGTTTACGCTCCAAATAGGCAGCACATTGCATAATGGTGAAGCCGGGGAACGCCGTCTGCTTGCGTAGATACGGGTCGTCGAATTCGGCTCCAATGATGGTCTCGTCGTAGAGCAGGTGGAGAACCCCATTGCGACGCACTACCGCCACTACCGAGTCGTCTACATCGATGCGACTTACCATGTCGTAAGCGTCATCCGTCGCAGGCTCCAGGTGAGTGCCTGCAGGCTGCGCTGCTGCGGTCCAAAGCAGCACCAACGATATGAGCGGAATCAGCATATTTGGAGGTGGGACATTTTCGTATACTCCTGCAAATGTATACTTTGAGTATACCATTTGCAAAAGGAAGTGAGTATTTTGCCCGACTGGCTAACCGACTATACAATTATACCCCCCCAACATGCATAAAATGGACTTAGCCGACGGTCTTGGCAACACTCGCTCGGAATTAATATCTAATCCCAGACACAGCGCCTTGCCGAGTCGAGGACTTAGAGGCCGGGGTGGGGCAGGCCGCGCAGCGGCGCCCCCCGAGCGCAGCGCAGCAAGTGAAGAGAGGGGCGGGCCCACGGCTATAAGTCCGCAGACGAGTGCAAACGCGCTAGTGTCCAACCTTTACTCCAATTTAACCGTACTATACTATTTGTACACGTATAAAAGGCGATGCTATGTTACCTCAGTCGGGCAAAATAACGAGTGCCTTTGCAAAAATGAAAAAGGCAACTTTTGCATGTTTTTTTTCTAGGCATCATCAACAGGACCAAATACTAAATAGCAAGAGGTTGATTGTTGATATACTTTACGCTTTCGGCCTAATTTATCCACATTTAGACGAGCTACGATCGCTCGAGTTTTGAGTTACGACACGAGATTTAGAGGTGCATGACACTTGGCTGAACGCGGGATTCCGACAAGCGGTGCAGGTTGAACATGTCGTGCAAGGCCTGCGAGCTGACACTGGGACGCTCCATGCTCATTCCTTTACCACGGTTCGAGATTTGCGGGAGGATATTGCTGCTCACGGCGATAGTCACAAAATCGGATGCGGTGGGTTCGTCCATGTTAGGCGGTGCCATCACGGGAACTTGTCGCGTCGAGTTGAAGATGTTGTAGTTGGACTGGGACCGCATACTTGACTGGCCCAGATCGTCATACATCATGACACTTGGTCGCAACAACGGGTGTGGCTGTTGGTGACGAACCGACATCGTTTCGAAGAGGTTTTCGTTCTGAGCCATGAGCACCAGACGCACTACGTGTGAGTAGGCGACGGTGGTACCTTCGAGCTCGAACAACAGCTTCACGACACTATTGAAACGATAGCGCGTCAATCGGAAGCCGAACTTCGAAAGAACCTCACGAAGATCGTCAACATCGATGAACCCAGAGCTGGTTCGGTCTCGGGCCTTCAGTTCGGCCTGGAGATCCACGATGGTAAGTTCTTGCTGGTCAATGTGGTTCAGTAGAGTGGTAGCGAACTCGGATCGTATGTGAACGACCTCACTGAAGTTCTCCACGACGTCACTAAGTGTATGCGAATCGATACGCAGTGTGTTACTGACGACGACAAAGTCGTAGAAGATGTGACGCTGTAGAATCACGGCGTTAAGCACCAGCGGGAGCGGTACCATAACCGTCGGGAGTGTACCAAAGTCTTCGTAGATGTCGTCCATGTCGTAGAATGCGCACTGTACAAAGAGGGTGATGAGGAACCCATTGAGGATGAGCAGCAACATGACGCCAATGTGCCATCCTTTGTGTGAGAAGAAGCGGATCTCGATAGTAGGAGACCCGGGCACGACGCCTTCCTCTGCCAGGCTGCTGCGTCGCTTGTTGAGGTGTCCTACACCCGCTCTTTTGTTGCGTTCACGTTGGAGTTCCAGCTCCTCGTGATGCTCTTGGATGCACCCCATGATCTCTAGTGCCTTGTCTGCTTCCTCATTCTTCCACGCTTCGGCTTCTTCTTCGGCGATAACGCTCAAGTTGGCAGCAAGTGTGGCCTTGTCATTACTGAACGCTGCCGAGTGAAGGAGGTGATGTATACAGGAGCGGAAGTACAAGCACACCATGACGTGGAGTAGTAGCAACACCCACGCGAACATCATGAAAGATTCGACGAGCTCGTGGCTCTCTGGCATGTCGGTATCGAGGGTCTTGAGTATCTCCAGCAGGCCACAAATTGCCCACGCCACGATGAGCAGCACGATCCACATCGCCGGCTCCACTTCAATCATATGCGCGATCTGGTGAGCTTGAGCTCGACTGAGGTACTTGGAGTACGGGAAGAGCTGCGGTAGTCCGAAGCGGTGAAGGAACAGACGCCGCAGTAGTCTCAACTCGACGAGTTCTCTGTTGTTAGCTCTCTTCTTGGCTGATCTGCCGCAGCAGAACAGCGTCTGAAAGAAAGTGGGCATCGCTTTGTCGGCGCCGTTGGACCCGTTGACCGAGTTGATCAGGTCTTGCGTCGTGATGAGCTCAGCACGTTCAGCTCGGTCGTTCTGGTTGCGCAGTAGTAGAAACACACCGGTGGACTGTACAATGAGGGCCAGCGCTAGAAGGAAGATGGTCAAATCGGCCACTTGGAAGGCCAACATGGTCTTGCCGTAGCTGTCGATGTCGGGGATTTCTTTGAGGATCTTGAGTCCGAGACTGATCAAACCGAGGACCATGAGCTCTCGATACGCCTTCTTGAGCATGTGCTGGTATTTCTCCGAAGGAGGGAACTTGTGCTCCAGTTTATGTAGTGCCCTTTCAAAGAGCACGAGGCAGAACGCCAGGATACTCAAGTGGATCAATACTCTCCAGAATTCGACATCTTCGCCGACCTGGAAGAGTGACCCGCCTGCCATCTCAACAATTGGAAAGTGAGTCCAAGTCCGACGTTACCTTTCAGTTGTTTTAACGGGACATTGCAATACGTGATGCCAAACAACAGATCATCGGCAAAACGCCTCTACTTCCGGACTGGCCAGCGTTACTGACGTAAAAGTTCAGGGTTTACGGAGTAACGAGGGTCCATCCTAGTGCTTTGCATCCTTCCCACACGCCCGCAAGATTCTAAAATTGAGCATTTGGTTGGTGTTCCGTAGAATAATCCACTGTCAATTATCCATTCAGTCCGTTGTCATTCCCTTATTTTCCGATGAGCCGGGCAAAGTTTAACGTGTTTGATGCTAAAGACTGGTGCGGAGCAACGATCTTTGACGACAAACGGATAGACTACCAGCTCTTCAATTAATTGTTTGTGGTGGCGACGCTAAAGGAAGGCCCAAATGATGAACTTTAGTGCTTTGACCCACCGAATCGGCTCCGTATTTAATACTGTACTATAATACAAACACATGTCGTGTACAGTACTAAAAAACGTCAGGGTTGAGCGCATCGCATGCAGGCACGAATGGAGATTATGCTTTGGGTAGAGACACTGAGGCTCAACAAGTTGTGTGTTTGGAATTCAGTACATGCTGTAGAATTACCGGTAAAGGATAAGTATGGCTCGCTGGAAGAGGCATATTTCGTGTTTTGTGTCGCTTGTTGGACGAGAGTATTCGCTCGTCACTACAAAAACAGCCATTCGTGTCGAGGTGGCTGCGCTCAGCTACACGCAATATGCTCAACGAAAACAGCCAAGACGAATGACTTTGAAATCATCCGCTCTTAAGACGCTTTTTAATACTGAACTTTACCTCCAAATATCTTTGCATGCACACGTGGAACACGACACGCGTTGAAGATGCAATAGATACCGCGTTTAATCTGTAACCTAGATTTTTTTTATTAGTTCCTACATCTACTGAGGCGCATCTGGTAGTCCATGTAGGTTGAACATGTCGTGTAGTGCCTGGGAGCTGACGCTAGGCCGTGCCATCGCTGACTGCGCACTTGGGTTGATACCACGGTGTGATATCGGGTGAAGGACAAAACTGCTCCCCGCCCCACCTACGAAGTCGTCTGGCCTGGGCTCTGCCCCCTTCGACTCGGCAAGCAGCGGTAGCTGACGCGTTGATGCGTGCAACTCGTAGTTTGACTGCGAGAGCACACTCGGTTGTCCCTCGTGATCGTACATCATTACACTTGGTCGCAGCAACGGGTGAGCACCGTGCTGAGTGACTGGCAAAGTCTCAACGAAGTTCTCGCTCTGAGCCATCACGACTAAGCGCACCACTTGAGCATACGATACCATCGTACCCTCGAGCTCAAAAAGTAGCTTCGCGACACTATTGAAGCGATAGCGCGTCAAGCGGAATCCAAACTTCCCAAGTACGGAACGTAGGTCGTGCACCTCGATGTACCCGCTACCAGTTGCGTCTCGTGCCTTCAATTCTTCCTGAAGGTCTTCCACTGTGAGTTCATGTTGCGTCATGTGTTGATGCAGTGAAGTTGCAAACTCTGAACGTAGCTGCACGATCTCCCGGAAGTTCTCCACCACATCACTGAGTGTATGGGAGTCGATACGAAGCGTGCTGCTTACAACGACAAAGTCGTAGAAGATGTGGCGTTGGAAGTACAGCGCGTTCAACGCGAGCGGTAGTGGGACCAGAACCGTCGCTAGCACACCAAAGTCTTCGTAGATCTCGTCTAAATCATAGAGTGCACATTGTACGAACAGAGTGATAAGGAACCCGTTAAGGATGAGAAGGAGGATGACCGAGACGTGCCACGCCTTGTACGAGAAGAACCGGATGTCGATCTTTAGAGACTCCGGTACGACACCGTTGATGCTCTCGAATAGCTTGCCCGAAGTCTCGTGTGCGATACCCATCGTCGCTGCTGTTCGGTGGTAGAAGCCTTGTTGATGGAGTTTACGTTGGCGTTGAACGCGTTGGTACTCGTACTCCTCGTGTTGCTCTTGAATGCTACTCATGATCTCCAACGCCTTGTCGGCTTCTTCATTCTGCCACGCCTTTGCCTCTTCTTCGGCTATCGTATTCAAGTTTTTAATCAAAATCTTCTTGTCCTCATTGAATGCCGCAATGCGAAGAAGATAGTGAACGCAAGAGCGGAAGAAGAGGAAGACCATAAGGTGAACAAGCAGCAAGATCCACGCTACGAACATGAACGCTTCGACCAGTTTTTGACGCTCCGGCATCTCTGCATCCAGCGCTTCCAGGATATTGAGGATGCCGCAGATTGCCCAGGCTACTGCGAGGAGTACGAGCCACATAGCCGGCTCCACTTCGATCATATGGGAGATCTGGTTGGCTTGAGCTCGGCTTAGATACTTAGAGAACGGGAAGAGCTGTGGAAACCCGAAGCGACGGAGAAACAGACGACGAAGAAGACGTAGTTCCACCAATCTCTTGCCGTAGTTCTTCTTCTTTGCCGCTCGTCCACAACAAAGAAGGGTTTCAGCGAATGAAGGAGCTGAGCTCTTGGATTCGTTAAGTAAATGAACGAGATCTTGGGCTCTCATGAGCTCTGCACGCTCGGCTCGGTCGTTCTGGTTGCGAAGAAGTTGGAAGACGGCAGTGGACTGCACGATCAGCGCCAGCGCCAGGAAGAAGATGGTCAAGTCGGCCACTTGAAACGCGAGCATTGTCTTGATTTCGCTGTTGATGTTCAGTGCTTCCTTTAGGATCTTGAGTCCCAGACTGATTAGACCCAAGACCATTAGTTCTCGGTAAACTTTCTTGAGCATGTGTTGATATTTGTCAGAAGGAGGAAATTTGAGCTCCATATGATGCAACGCTTTCTCAAAAAGCACGAGGCTCAAGGCCAGGATGCTTAGTTGCACCAGCACTCGCCAAAACTCGACGACCTCGCCCACCTGGAAGAGCGATCCGCCTCCCATCTTGGCAATTGTAAAAATGAGCTGCAACCTTTCTAAGAGGTGCCTGGAAGCTCCAGGCTTTACGGATTAGCAAGGCACCATCATGGGCTTTGCCTTGAGTCCCACCGTGTATGCTGTGAGCCGGGCAAACGCACAGTGTGTCAAGCTTTCGGGGAACGCGGGGGGGGGCATGTATCAAACTGAAATTGATCAAGTCGGCGCCGCACTTGCGATGAGACGGGCAAGTTTACGAAGACTTGTAAACGTCCGACCTCTGCTTCATGGGATCGAAACGGACAGCCGTACAGATCGAAGCTGTGTTTGTGGCGTCAAGGCAATCGGGAGAAATAATCTGGTGCATTTGTGCTCACAGAATCAAAGGATACAGAGCAACTTGGTCAATAAGATATCTATGATCATACGACCCACGCTGCAAAAATAATCTTTCAAAGCGTCCACGTTGGCTCTTCAAGATTATTATGCTTCATGTAGCCGGTACACCACGGTATTGAAAAGAATTCTATTTTGGGGAAGGATTGCAAATGCCAATCAGATCGTCATACATGTATTATTACAGTAATAGGGGGAGTCGAACATTAAGAAATGATCCAAAAATATAAGCAGAGACGTGTCCAATTTGTAAGCAGAGGAGTGCACAATTACTGAGCAGAAACAGTAAAAGGGGAGAGGCTCAATTTCGCACTTAAGAAGAGACAATTTACATTTTCTAAAGCGACGACTCGCACAGACACTGCTCTGGCGCCGCCACGGGCTACAGGGGCGCGTGCCTTGGTGCACTGTCGCCGTGCTATAATATGAGTGTAGCCTTCTGTGCAGCATCAATCTCCAACATGTGTGCTGCACGTCGCGCCTTGGGGCACCCGACTTCTGGCCGGAGACGGGTGCAGAGCGACGCAGCCATACACGCGCCTTCCTCCCCCCCATTTCCATGCCGGTCTGGTTTTTGGAAGGGAGGATTATTTAGATAATAAAAAAAGCTTGCTCATTTTATATGTAAGCCACCTCCGGAGGTGGCTTACTTTGAAAGTGAGCATGTTGTTGTCAAAAATGTGAGCGTAATCCGAAGGGAAAATTGAGCACGTTTTTTGCAATGTTCGACTCCTCCTAATTAGAGACCTTTCGAAGAGGGCTTTTTGTTGTTTGTGAGATTTTGGTCCTATACATGTACAGTGAGGTACTCCGATGCAACGTTAACCACCGCAGAGTTTCTGGACCTTATTGTTGCTCTAAGCCCCCTTAACGTTGCTCTAACATTGCTCCTTTTGTCACTTTTTTACATTGATGGCTCTTCAGATTCAGGTCACACTTTTTCCATATCATTCAATAAACATTCTAGCCGCGTTGTTTCTTATTGGCTACATGACCCTCGTTGAGCGTTTGAGTGAGGTATAAAGCTCTCCAATGCGATGAATATTAAAGAAATGATGCCTTCTTATCTTAAGAACTCTTGCGGTTTTAAAAACTCATAGGTCATGACAGCCATCCTGGTAAAAGCCTCCATAACGCCGTGAAAAAAGATTATAGAGATTTTGGAGGCAACTTAACGCTGTATTAACGCCATCCCAGTCACTCAATTACAAATGCCATATCTGTACACTGTACTTAAGTGGATTATCTGTCAATAAACAGATTTGCGTGCGCGCTCATTCAAAGAACTGCGCACGGAAATTTGAGCTAAACGCCCAGGACGTGAGCAAAAGCAGTCCATCGACTGTGATCCATCCGTATATCCAACATCATTGTTGGATTATGGGGCCTCTACGTCTTTTAAATACTGTGAGTTTATAAAGCTGGTGTGTGACGGGGTGACACAGCACCTTGCGTTGCTTACAAACGCTCAGTGAACGGCAGCTCACAGGTCCCCTTTTACCGAAAGGGAGCAAAGTGAGCAATTTAACCCTTTCGCGGTGTGAGGGCGCATTTTTCGCCCTTTAACACCTTTTTCAAAACAAGGTAGGAAATGCCCCTCTAAAAGGGCGATAAAATCGCCCTTTTAAGCCTTTTCTCCTGCTCTGCCTACCGTGTTTCATTACTACCAATCACAGCAATGAATGAAATGAGGTTGGGGGCAGTTTTTGGTCGTCTGATCACCGCATCGTATTTTTAAAGTAAAATACTATTTATTGCTCCAACGACCGTAATGGGGCCTTTTCTACGCGGTCGTGTCATCAATCTAGAGGTCAATCGTTCGACAGCCAGTCACCAGATCGTACAAAAGGAAAGACAAATGCACACATACGACCTCCCATTCTGCTTTAGTAGTCTCAAGGCTAATGCACACTAGTTTCACATACACGGAAAACAAGCTCCTGGTGCAAATCGCCTCCCAGTTCGAGAAGGAGGGCTTAAGCATCACATGGGACTACGTGGCCCGCCAAATGAAGACCAAGCGGTCTGCCCGCCAGCTGCGGATTCGGCTGACCAGCCTCAAAACGACGTATGAGAAGGCGATTAGCTACTTCTCGCCTTGTTTTCTTAGCGGCATGTATTCAAGACGTCTCCTGAGAGAGCCGAGGTCACCACCACCACCCCTCGTTTTGCAGCGACCACTAAGACCAGACAGCCGACCTCCAGCTACTCCGTCGAGTGCTAAAGGTCTCTGCGGTGATCACCACGCGCCAGGTTCGTCTGCTTTGGAGAGACGTATGTGTCGTTTGTGAGACCGATGCCGCGCTTGTTGGCTAAGGTGACGATATACATGAAAGTACTGCCAGTGGCGGAGAGGTGTCAGACAGCGAGGAGCAAGGGCGCCAAGGGTGCTGTGATCAGAATTCAGTAGCTAATGGTGGCTGTCTGGCGCGAAGTTGTGGGGAGGGCCGTCATCCACAGGTGGCTATAGCGAAAAGTCCAGCGGGTGAGGCTCGGATTGCCTGCGTAACAATTGACGTTGACAATACTAACCTGGGCTTCTTTTTGTGACGCAGTAGCTGATTTCGGATGATATGGAGATAATCTAGACGACTTTCAAACTGCTGAAGCGGTGGATATAATTTTTACAAATGACGTTCGCCAACCCGCTGGCCGCATTTATGACAACGCGGGTAAGGTGCTACCGTTCGGTGTTACTCTTCTACTTGCAGCCGTTGGCTCACTCGATGAAGCGGACGTATTTGTTGATGTTGGGGCCGGTGTTTGCAACGTGCTTGCGCAAGTAATACTTACGAGAAACGTCAGAGCGTGCATCGGGATCGAGCTTCGTCGAGACCTCGTCTCTCTAGGTGGGCGTTGCATGCAGTTGCAGCTCAAGCAATATCCACGGCTCAGAAGGTACTGCTCAAACAAGTGGATGCTAGAGATGTTTTGATGTCACGGCATCCTCTCATTTGTGAAGCCACTATTGTCTTCGCTAACATATTCTTATTTGAAATAGATGCTAAGCTGATTGCTTTACGAGACCTAAGTGCAATGCCAGAGGCACGGATGATAGTTGCAACATCGCTCTTCTCGCCGAGGCATCGTTCATCCTGCACAGAGCCATCCTGCAAGTGCTCGGAGCTCGATCATCACATAAAAGTACATGTTAGCTGGAAGGCAAGCAACACTCCATCCACTTTACATATACCGTAAGAAACTATGATTCGTTTTATCGTATTACACATGCCTCTCATGAGTATCTTCGCCACGTCCGCGGGGCCACGACCTGCACCACTAAGCTCAACTACAGCGCCAAGCCCGACACCAGCATCGCCCCCGCCAGCGCCTGCAGCATCATCGCCAAGATCGCGCGGCAGCTTCTCCCAGCCACAGCTATCTGCATCATTGCCCCTAGGTCGTCCTGTAGGACGGTCACTACTTCCGTGCACGGTCTCACGTGCAGCCCCGCTGCTTATTCTACGATCAGTCCTTTCACACTCTCGCGCAGCTTCGCTGGTATTCCCGCCTGACACACTGTAAGCGGCAAGCCTGTTCGTGGCACTGCCGCTCGGACCGAGCGCGTCAAGGCCTTGAGAGTCACCTTCGCTGAGCCCGCCGCCACCGAGCCCGTAACCAATCTGCCGAGCAGTCGCAAGCCGTGGTGTTTGTGCTCTAGGCTCATACTCATCTCTCAGCTTCACAAGATCACAGTGACGACGTACATTTCCTTTATCGGTAAACAGACAATTAGGAAAGTAGAACGGGTGAAATTTATCTCAGCATGTAGATGTTGTCGACGGACACATCCATGGTTTTGCGGGGTGGTCATGTACAGCCCGGCATAAACACACACCGTGTATTAGACAGTAATTCGTGACCTCGGTCGGATAGCGCCCCTCCCATCTACACACAATACAGTGCCGGCGTTTTTGGCTCTTCTCAGCGTGAATTTGTCTTGAAGATACAGATGCGCACCTCGTTGTTGGCAGCACTGCAGTCTTATTGGACGTTGTCCAAGATGAAGGTGTGCTAACTTGCTCCACATCTCCGCCGTCGAGCATTCCACCACTATATATCATTCTACCGTCCCAAGGTGCGGTCCTTTACTGCCCGTTCAAAAGATCACCGACCAGCTCCATCAGGAGCGATCTGTGGGGGTCACGAGTCGCTGGGTCCGTCTTCACCAGTTGCCACGTAAGATATGCGTTTGACCGTGCAACGTCAATAAGCGCGAGGGCCAGCTTCTTGTGCCATCGTTTGTACGAATGACCATCCGCTGTAGAGAATCGTCCTCGGATTTGGTCGAGGCGATCAACGCCCTGCATATTTGTGTTGTACTGGGCAACACACTCTGGGGCCGGATAGAACTACTTCACGTCACAAACTTTCATTCTCAAAGTCGAAAAACATCAACCTGGCCGCGCGAGAGTGGCGGAGGCTCACTTCACAGTTAGAGCCTCGAGCAGCAGTATGTACCCTCTGCTCGCTGAACGTGAGTTCGACTTTGGCAGTGAGGGCGAAGCCGAGTCCGAGAGCACGCACGATGCTTCTGTGGGCTCTACGGGAGGCCATAGCTCAGTGCCCAGCGAGCACAAAGACGCCAGCGTGCAGTCGCTCGCTAGTGATCACGTAGATCACAGTCCCAAGACGTCGGTGCGCTCTGAGGTCTGCCCGTCGAGGCTAAGGGCACCCCAAAGCTGGTGGCGACGAAAAAAAGAAACATCTCAAACGTCTCTCGCTTGCCGAAGGTCTTGCGCGTGCTAAGGCCGCTAAAACCGAAGGCGCCAAGCCCTCTAAGAAGCGTACGGCTTCGAAGTCTCCACTCCGCGAGGAGAAGGAGACTGGGTATTCCCATCGGGACCTTTTCGATTCCTCGAATGAAGAGGACGAGAAGGAGGAGGAAGATGAAGAGGGTGCTATTCCTGAGCCCCGGGAGATCTCTAACGACCTCGACCAGCAGCAGGAGGACTTCCAAGCTGCCCAGCGTACGCGTGGGGGTTCGGTGGTGGCACCCGTCAGCCAGGGAGCTGCCATCAACTCAAGAGGGTATTGGCCTCCCGAGAAGAGCTCTGGGGTTGACCTCTTCCTGGAGCTTCTCGTCGCTCCTCGTGGCCTTGCTGGCGGTCACACCTCTAGGGGCGTTTACGAACGCACCTTTGTCCAGAAGGAGCAGTTGTTTGTTGACAACTTGGAGGCGGCTCGGTGTGTGCTTCTCGCGCCACACCGCATCCCCCTTAAGGACTTCACGACTTGTCGTAAGAAGCCCGAGAACCGGGGTGGTCTCTTTCCTCTTTGGGGTTACCCCTGGGTTCTTCCTGAGAACGGCCCCAACTGGTGTTCTTGTGAGGACATGTTCTGGGCTTGGGTGGAGTCTCTCAAGTACTCACACTCGGAGTTACGGGATCTTCATGAAGATCAGCTGTTGTCCCGCAACCTGGACCAGCGTGATCTTCGTGTTCGGTTTGCCCACATGGTCAGCAAGAGCATGCTGCCAAGGGACATTCTGAAGCGCGCGGGTACGGAGTGTCGTCAACGTCCGTACCCCGCTCGGGCAAGAAGTTCCGGACTACTTATAAAGCTGCCGCCGCTTCTGTTCCCAGATTGCGACAGACTTCGGGAAGTCAATCAGGAGCCGTTCAATCAACTCCCACGAGCTCTCGGAGTGGGCATAGCCCTTCCGCTTCACGAGGAACTGTCGCTTACCGCGACGCCGTTGCCCCTGGAGGATCCGCTCCACGTGGTAGTGGACTTTTCCATTCCGATCAAGCAGGGGCGGAGGTCCCTCGTACGTGTACGAGTACCCAGCGCCTCCCGAACGACACGTGCTTCTCATGCGGGTCCGACACAGGGCCCTGAGGCTGACCGCCTTCGTTAACGCGTCCTCGTGCTTGAGATTGCACTTGGCCTTGGGACTGGCGGGGATGCTGCCGCCCAGGCCGGGAATCAGGGCGATCTCGCTCGTCTTGCGGACCGCCTGGACCTGTTGGAGCGTGAGGTCGCGAGCCTGCATCTGCGGGTGGACCGACGGGCCTCTTTGTCCGATCTTAAGTAGGCCTTCCGCATGATCCGACGTGTCGAGGATTTGCTGCCACGTCCGAAGCCGCCTTCGGCGCACTCCCCGTCGTACGCGTATGGTGCGTACCGGTGTTTTCAACGTACTCGGCGTATGGCCCCGGGGTCCGTTCGTACGGAGACCCTCCTGGGTACGGTTTTGACCGCAGCTTTGCCGTTCAGACCGAGGCTTGGGTGCCTGCTCCGACACCTTCGTCGACGTCTGTGCCCGGCCCTCGCTTCGAGGAGCTGGGCCAAGGTGGGTCTGCGAGTCAGCAATCCCCTGCAGATTAAAGTACCGCTTAAAACGTCCAGCATAGAACGTCGGGTGCGTCGTAATTGACTTAGGCAGTTCGATGCTGTACGACGCACCATGTCTGGCCAGGACTGCAAATGGTCCGATGAAGCGGTGCTTCAGCTTGTTACTGCCGACAGAGCTGACAGTGTCTAGCGGTTCCTCGTGTCTAATATCACTAAGCCCCCCACTTTAAATAAACTTAAGATTCCTCTTTCATGTTTGTCTGAGTACTCCTCTTGTCAGTCCTGGGCCGCTGCCATGGCATCGCGGACCCTGCTGACAACACTCAGCTTGGTATCCAAAAAGAATTTCACTTCTTTCCGCAGTGAAACAGGTCTCACATCCGAGACCTGGGAGGGAAGAACTTTCCGAGCCTCTCCCCCACTAGAATAGAGAAGTCAGTGTCTCCTCGAAGCGTGAGAGGCACACTGGCGTGACGGAAGCCGTTCAAGTAGAGCGACGTGACCCCCGTGGACGCGTGCACCGCGTTGCTGAGCGCAAACTCAACAACTGGAAGCTGCGTTGACCACGTACGTGGTGCTACCGCGCGCACACTGAGCAGAGTGTCCTCGAGCACTCGATTGACGCGCTCTGTCCGGCCGTCTGTCTGTGGGTGGCCCGCAGTGGACATCTGCGAACGAGCTCCCAGTAGCGGAAACAGCGTTTTCCAAAACGCAGCCGTGAACCGCGGGTCTCGGTCCGAGGCAATCGTCTCCGGGAGACCGTGATAGCGGAACACGCCATTGACGAGCAACCTTGCGGTTTGTTCGCCCGTAACAGTAACGGGAACCGGAGCGAGATGTATCATCTTGCTCAGCCGACACACGAACACCAACATTCCGGTGTTGCCGTGTCCGTCGGCGGGAAGCCCAACGATGAAGTCAAGACTCATCGACTCCCAACAATCAGCCGGTACGGGCAGGCACTGTAGTGGAGCCGAAGAGTGCCCTGAGGGTTTGACCCGCTGACATGTTTCACATGTCTTCACGTATCGAGCGACCCACTTGTACATATAGGTCCACCAGAAGGCCTGAGAGACCGACAGGAAGGACTTCTCGCGGCCCAAGTGGCCGCTGGAGGGTGCGTCATGCGCCTCCGCGAGGATGTCGAACTTCAGATCCTCGTTGTTGGGTACGACCACCCGTGGAGGATCAGTGGGCTCCACCCAATAATAGAGGAGGCCCTCCTTCAACTCATATCGGTGGAGCCGGGAGCGCTGTCGCAACGAAAGCCAGTCGGACTTTGCGCTCGTTCCTGCTGTGGGGAACTTGACGATAGGCGCGACAGCCTCACCATCACGATACGCCATGCGTATCCGATCATATAGATCCGCTGTCACCCGCGTTATGTGGACCAACTCGTAGTCTAGACGCCGAGAGAGAGCGTCCGCAAGCACGTTGAGCTTTCCCAGCTTGTACTCGACGCGGAAGTTGTACTCCGCGAAGAAGGACAGCCACCTCGCCATTCGTTGGCAGAAGTGAGGCGAATTTGTCGCCGTCCTCAAGGATGCGTGGTCTGTGTAGACCACGAAGGGCCGTGAGCCCAGAAGTTGCACCCGAAACTTCACAAGGGCATACTTCATTGACAGGAGCTCCTTGTCGTGATCACGGTAGTTCCGTTCGGCGGCTTTGAGTTGCCTGGACAGGGACGAGATGACCCGTTCATGTCCAGCCGTGTCGGCCTCCAGCCGTGCACACCCGATGGCGTAGTCGGAGGCATCCCAGACGACGCTAAGCGGCTTCGTCTCGTCCGGCAGGACCAGGACAGGGGCCTCTTGGAGACTGGCCTTGATGCTGTCAAAGTCATCCTGGTGCTCTTGCTCCCAGTGCCAATTGACGTCCTTCTGAAGGAGACTTGACAAGGGCTTGGCGAAGCCCGCATACCCTGCGCTGTACTTGTGAAGGTAGTTGGTCAAACCCAACCACTTTCAAAGATCCTTTTGGGATCGGGGCGTTGGACATGCTGCTATGGCCTTGACCTTGTCTGGTTCAGCCTGAGCGCCCACGTCGCTTACGAAGAAACCGAGAACCTTAACCCTTTTGCTTCCTATAGTACGTCAAGTAAATTGCACTCCATTCATAAAAGCTAGCATTTTTGTAAAATCAACACAATCTGCTGGTTTTGTTGACATATACCGCACTGGCGTTTATCACTTTGAAAGGGAATTACAACGGCTCACTAGCCATAAAAAACAAAACCAACACTTCCTGCGTGTGTAACGTCGTTTGCGCTTGACTGCTGATTGGAGTAAATATGTCGAATTTTTTTAAGCAAAGGTAAAACTTATTCGGAACGCCATTGGTCACAATTAAAAGGGCCAGTTCCTTCGAGCCAGAGGA